CTCTGGCAAAGCTGAAGCTGGAGAAGATAGGCAGGGTTGCTGTGTTGAGAAGGCGATGCCCAGGAGGACAAGGAGCTCTGAGAAAGGGAGACAGGTTGGGTGGCATCCAGCTCTGCCTCCTTCCTCCAGCACTGAGCCAGGCTCCTGCTGGAGCCCAGCTCCCATGCTAGAGGGGCTCCACCTAGCACGGCAGGCCCCCCCCAGCCCACTTACTAGTGATAATAACAATATTTGAGCCGCTCAGAGTGCTACGTGCCCTGGTTGCCTCCTAACACAGGCAGTCTGCAGAAAAATGCCTGTGGGTGAACGCCGATATCATCCCCATGTTTTTACAGAGGGAGAAAAGAAGCCTAAGGTCCAGCAATTTTAAGCAAATTGTCTATTGTCGCACAGCTCATAAATTGCAGAATTGGCCAATTTTTTTTTTAACTACACTGCCCGCAAGTGTCTTACCCATGATTCTTGCCAATACTGCTATCTCCGAAAGGACCCAAGAAACACACTTGTTAACCCACTAGTTAACAAGTCAAAATAATCCCATGTATTTGATTTCCATATTCTTTGATCAAATTTACAATATTTTAAAATACCAACGAAATAAAATATTGCCAGAAGGTAACAAAGGAAGGGAATTAAAGCCATGGTGATTTTTGAAGGTGAGTGCTTCCTTCTTGACTGTCAGGCGGTGCAAAACCAGGCCGAGTGGTGCTGGCTCTGGGGTGTAGTTGTGGGACTCTAAAAGTTCACGGGGCAGAGGATGGGGGAGCTTCGCCCCACTGAGACATGAAGTGTTCTCCACAACAGAGCTGGCCCTGCACTTTATGAACCAGCCTCTCCAAATTTGTTTAACTTGTTGTTTATGATGTCATTAGACCCATTGACACAAGAGATGTCACCATGAGCATCCGGCAAGTCTGATTTGAATCCTCAGCAAACATGTAAAATGTCTTCCCCTCCCTCCTCCCTCTTCCCTCCTCCCTCCTTCCCCCTCCCCCATGCTTTTCAGGGATGGGGAACAGAAGTAAATGTTAAATTTGCATGACATGCAGTGGTCTAAACTTTCACTGAATTCTAATCCACATAATAGTCTTTCCTTTTTTTGCAAGTGGATGATGAAATGTAACCCAGAGACAGTTTAAACAGAACTCGGACTGGGCTGCTCCCCACCAAATGGCCTAATTTGGTGGTGACGGCATTGGTGCTGTATGTGCAGTGATCAAATCCTGAGTTTTCAATTGTCCTTTTTATGGTCAATTAAGATAGTTTTAGGATATAGATTTAAAATCGAGTTGTCTGATGTAACAGACTAAAGTATGCCCTCCAATTACAGGAGAATGTCTTTTTGTGACAGTGGCTCTCCGGGTGAGTTTTATGAGCTTCTATTTTTGAAGTTGACTCAAAGGGTCTCAGCAGCACATTTTGGAAATGGTTTTGTAAACTGTAACGAAGGTATCTTTCTTTAACAGCTTCCTGCCCAAAGACGCCTGAGTGCTTTACAAACTTATCAAAGTGACTTACAGGGAT